GGGCGTGGCCGTGGCTGGCTTCCTGCTGGGCATCCCCCTCACCAGCCAAGTAAGAGCTGAGGGGAAGGCTGGGCTGGAGGTGCCAGGGCACGAGGGAATAGCGGGGCTGGGAGCTTAGCCACAGCGCCCCTGACTCAGCTGCCCCCTGGCCCGCAGGCTGGCATCTACTGGCTGCTGCTCATGGACAACTATGCGGCCAGCTTCTCCTTGGTCGTCATCTCCTGCATCATGTGTGTGTCCATCATGTACATCTATGGTAAGTGCCCGGCATCCATGGCCTCCCCAGCCCCAGCCTTGGGCTGCCCAGCCCACTTACACCCCTCTCTCCAGGCCACCGGAACTACTTCCAGGACATCGAGATGATGCTGGGATTCCCGCCGCCCTTCTTCTTCCAGATCTGCTGGCGCTTCATCTCTCCGGTTATCATCTTCGTAAGTCCCGGGCTGGCCTCTGCCCCTTGGCAAACAGCCTTCCCTTGGGAACCAGCGGAGGGAAAGCAGGAGCCCATCCGCCTGGCCGGTGCTCCCACGGGAGTGCCCGGTTCTGGCCACTGCAGTCTGAGGGAGGCTGCACAATTCAGACAAGATCCAGGAGGCCGAGGCGGGAGGTGGAGGGCTACCTGGAAGGGACAGGAGGGAGGGAGAGACAGGTGTGCGGAGACTCAGAACCACCCTGACCCTGGCTGGGGGTTAGGAAGGGAGCACAGAGCCCCGAGTTTGACGGAAGACAGTGCCCAGCCTGGAAGGGAAAGCAGGCTGGCTGCACTGAAGAGTCAGCCCCCCCCCCCCCCGCCACGTTCCTGCCTGGCATCCCCAGAGGGGCCTCGGGGGCCATTACTGATATTGCTTTCAGCCTCTGTCAGCCTCGCTGAGCACCTGTCTCCGATCCGTCAGAGCCGAGGTGCTCCCAGGTGCCAGGGCTCCGTGGCGTGAATGCGTGAGTGCTCCAGAGGCAGGCCTCGCCCTCGCGAGTCAGGTGTCCGCTCGGCATCGGGGGCCACCGGCAGACCTTCCAGGCACTGGACAGGGCTGGCTTGGGAGGGGAGGTCGTGGTTTCCCCCAATGCTCAACACCTGGGACGCCCTCTGGGAGCTGAATTGGTGGTGAGAACTCACACCATGGCCAGGCGCTGGGCGCTTTCTGCGCGCACTGTTTGTATGTTAACATGAGTACAGGCTACAGCTCTCCAAGCTATCGTTATTATCCCCACTCTACAGATGAGGAAACCGAGGCACAGAGGTGTTAAGTAACTGACCCAAGGTTACCCCGCTAATAAGAGACAGTGCCACACTATTCAAAGCAGGTAGTTCCGTCTGGAGCCTGCGGGCTGAGCCAGGGCCACCCTGGAAACCACCACAGGAGGGAGCTGTTGTTCCCTTCAGATTTTGGTCCTGTGTGCTCAGGGTGGGAAGCGAGGGCACCAGGGGTCTGATATTGTAATGGTCACTCTGCAGAGAAGAGGCGGGGCCATCTCTGAGTGACGGTGGGGTCAGCCCAGCGTCCAGGGCAGTGTCCAGGGCTGTGCCTCTGTCACACCCAACTCCTCTGTGCCACAGGGAGCTCAGCATCGGGTTTCCGCTTTGGCTCGTGTTTCTGAAAGAAAGGCCCCCGAGGGCCAAGGCCTTCTCCTCACGGGGTGTGGGATTTTCCCCGAGCCTGGCACGGCAGCCAGCTCTGGCCCCTGGCCCAGCTTTGAAACAGGAGGAGCGGAAGTCTCCTGTAAGTGGTGAGAGGCCAGGAGGGACGGCACGACCGCCCAGTGCTCTCTGGGGCTGGTTGTGGGGCCTGGCCCGCCTGGTGGGAGCTCGTGCCCACCTGGGGAGAGCCCTGGGGAGGGGCCTGGGGTACCAGCCTAGGCAGGGCAGGTGGCAGGAAGGAGGTGGGCACAGGGCGGGGCAGCCTGGGCCTGGCCCAGGATCTCCGAGAGCGTAAGGAGAAGGGGGCAGTGCCCTCTCTCCGTGCAGAAAGGCGGGCTGAAGCTCACCTTGAAGTAAGGGTTCCAGGCTCTGGGCACACGCTTCTGGGCTGTCCTGTCTGCTCTGGAGGCTTGGCTTCTTTCTGTCTCTGAAAATCTCTTTCTGACAAACTCCACCCTTTTGTCAGCTCCAGTGAGGGGTTTGTCCACGCCTAGGTCAGGATCTGGGTTCATTCCGAAAACTTGCTACGAGCTCCTACTACATTCAGGTCCCAGAAAGGGCCCCCCCCCCCACCAATGAAAGTGGGCCCTGACCTCCGGCATCTGGTCACTGGGAAGCCTGGAGGAGCAGCCCGAGTCTGGAACACGGCTGAGGGCTGAGGAGGTGAACGGTGAAGCCTGCTTAGGGGTAGCACACCCCGGGGCCCTGGCTTGCACCACCCTCGCCGTCCCCCGCGCACCACCCCCCCCCCCCGCCATAAGCCTAATAGCCACCGGACACAGTTATTACTTCCTTTAGTTTTCTTGTTCCGGGCGGCTGGCCAGGCTTTGTTTCTCACCTTGCTTCTTTCCACGGCGGCCCCTGAGTTCGTCCCCAGCCCAGCACTGACTGTTTCTGGCCTCTGGAGCCTCCCTGGGCTGCCCACAGCCATCCAACGACAGGGCTTTGCCCCTCCCCCTGCCCCACGTTCCCACCTCTCTGCACAAGTCAGTTCAAGTCAGCAAGTGAGATTGTGCCAGGAAATGTGCCGGTCCCTGGAGACCCAGAGCTGATGCAACCCCGGGTCTGCGGGGACCATTAAACAAATGCTTAACAGATGGAAAATGCCCTTCAGGAGCAGGAGACAGCAAATCTGAGAGGCTTCTTGAAGGAGGTGGGATTTGCCTAGGGTTAGCAAGAGGAAGATGTAAGGAGGGTTCTCCAGAGTAAATGAAAAGGGTGGAAAACGCCAGGTGTAGCTGAGACATTGAGAGGAGGGTATGTGGTAGGAAAGATCAGCTGAGATCTCTGTGTGAGAAAGTAAAAGCCCCAAAGACCAGAAATGTGGCCTTATTTCCAGAGGGAGCTTTGCAAGTCTCTGGGCAGAGCTGACTTGCAGAAGTGACAGCAGCTCCCTTGTTCCCCGGCCGGGTCAGACCTGTGGTGATGCCAATTGCCCGTCATGCCCGAACCCCTGGTTCTGTCTGCTTCCTCCACTACCCGAATGTTGGCACTGGCCCTGCTCTCCCTGCAATGCCTCTTATTATTTTGGGAAAATTGAGAAGAGAGGGGTTGCTGACAGGAGGCCTGAGGCTGGGTGGGCCTCATGCCCACACCCACCTCACTCTCTGCAGTTCATTCTCATCTTCACGGTGATCCAGTACCGGCCAATCACCTATAACCACTACCAGTATCCAGGCTGGGCAGTGGCCATCGGCTTCCTCATGGCACTGTCCTCCGTCATTTGCATCCCACTCTACGCCCTGTTCCAGCTCTGCCGCACAGATGGGGACACCCTCCTCCAGGTGAGGGGTGGGGCGAAGGGGCAACCAGATGACACGGGAAGGGGCTGATGGTTGGGGCGTAAGGGCTGCCTTGGACATGCCTTGCTCACCCCCTCCACCCCCACCTCTCCTGCAGCGTTTGAAAAATGCCACAAAGCCAAGCAGAGACTGGGGCCCCGCCCTCCTGGAGCACCGGACTGGGCGCTATGCCCCCCCTATACTACCCTCCCCTGAAGATGGGCTGGAGGCCCAGCCACTGCACCCGGACAAGGCCCAGATCCCCTTGGTGGGCAGCAACGGCTCCAGCCGTCTGCAGGACTCCCGGATATGAGCGCCACTGCGGGGAGCACCCCGCCCCGCCCTGCGCTCCCACCACAGAGCCAGGGGGCAGCGGACAGGTGTCACGGCCTGCCCCCACCGCGCCTGGACCAGGATGGCTGCCATCACCTTGGCCACCACTGCTAGTGCGGTCATTTGTGCTCGTGTCCCCAGTGTTTACAGGTCCTTTGGATGCCAAGATAGAAGCTGGGGGAGTGGGGAAGGGAGGAGGCAGGGTTGCCGGGTGGGGGGCCAAAGCACTTTGAAGGGGTCTCAGGCCAGGTCCCCAGAGGCCTGCTGTGCTTTAGGTGGCCTCTGATGCCCCCACACTCTGCCCTGAGCTGAGGTTCTGGGTGGACCCCCCACCTGTCCCTGTCCTTGGACCTCCAGCCTCCTGTCCAGTGTTCCTGCCCTCAGAGCAGACCCCAGGCCCTGCCCAGGCAAATTGGGGTCTCCCTGCCTGGGGGCAGGGCGAGGGGGTGGGGGCTGTGCAGTGTTACTCGTCAGGCTATGCCACCCAGCCCTGTTTGTCTGTGCAATTATTTTTGTAAAAATTGTCTTATCTGTGGTTGCCACTCCCTTGCCCCCAGCCTCAGGCCCGATCTGTCTTCCAGGCCTGCCTCACCTCACTCGGCTGCTCTGGGGTTTCCCAGCCTCATCCCGGCCCTGCTGCCCGGCCTGGCCAGCAGAGGCCCGTGACTCAGCAGCCTGCCCAAAGCACTAGTTTCTGGGGGTCAGGGGCGGAGTGCTGCTCAGCAGGAGGTTCGAGCCCACAGCCCTGGGGAAGGGACCCTGCACAACAGCCCCTTGCCCTCCTTCCACCAGGCTGACAGCCCAGTCTTCCCAAATCAGGCTGCCCTTGTCCACGTGCCAAATGGCTCCAGCCCACGTGCACCATCCCTTCTCCGGAGCCAGAGCTCCTCCTCCCAAGCCCCGGAGTGTTCATTTGTCCATCCTCTGTGCCCCTCTGTGCACTGACAGCCCTGGCAGAGCCGCCCCTAATTTTCTGTAGCAATAACGGTGCACCACCCACCCCTGCCCATCCACGCACCACTAGGATTTTAAAGTCCATAGATTTTAATGAAATTTCTATTCCTGTCTCTGAGCTGCCACTGTGCTTTGTCTGGGTGCCCCGGAGAGACAGGAGTGGGGGCTGGGACGAGACCCCCGCACAGTCTGCTCTCACCAGGCCTGCTCGGAGGTCTCAGAGAAGAAAGGCCAAAGGCTGTGATGGTCAGGACCTAATGCCAGGACCTTGGCAGGGGGGTGGGGCAAGGGTCAGACAGACGGACAGCCTTGGGGTCCTATCCAAGACCAGATCTGAAGCAGGTTGGGCCATGGCAACTGAGAAGTGGCGGTAGCAGATGGGGCGAGTTCCAGCAGAAGCCAAAGCCGCCTTTGTGCCCAGCCCGTCAGGTTGGGGCCTGGGGCACCGCACTGGACATTGGGGTGGAAGCTGGCCTTCTGGGGCTGCACTGAAGCTTCCGTCCCCAGCGGTGGGTGGCAGCCAGGCCTTGAGGCCTGTGTTCCAGAGGAGGAGCAGGTAGATATCGCTGGAGAGGCTTGGCCCAAACTCCAGCAGCTCCGCAGAGGTAAGGCGAGGATCTGAGGCCCTGGCTGGAGGACCCCAAGGGCTGCTGCCTAAACGAGGAGTAGCCATTAAGGGCCATAGGCTGACCCTTAGCCCACCCTGTCCAGCAGCCCATCGCTCTGGTCTACCTGTGGCTCGGGGCGACGCAAGGAGGCCTCAGGGGTGTCTGCAGCTCCTGTTGCATGGCCGCCTTCTGTTCCTTTAGTTCTGGAGGACAGGCCCATCTCAGACACCGCGGCCTGCTCTCCTAGGATATGGCTGGGAGTGGGGCAGAGAGGAGGCTGGCTTCTCAGGGGTCTGCTCAGGCTCCTCACCTGCCAGGGTGGGCTCTAGGGTTGCTTCAGAGGGCTGGGATGCCCCTGTGTACTCCTCTTCCAGGCAGCGCTGTAGGGAGAGCCGGCTCAGTGCTCTAGCCCCATAGCAGGGGTGGGATAGGGCAGGGTAGAACGCAGAAGCCAAGACCACCTTGGCAGGGTCCAGGCACCACCTGAGGACAGCCCCAGGGAACACTAGCCCCCCTGAAAAGCCCAGCTTAGCAAGGTGGTGGCTGGCCTAGACCCAGACTTAGGGAAGGGAAGAAGGCAAAAGACTGGGGAGCAAACCCAGCAGGTTACTCCAGGGCTCCACCAGAATCTTGGACTTCTGTATTCACACACACAAAAAGCGCACCCATGAGAAATGGTCACGGGGCTCACAGAGCTTTCATACACACGTACGCACACAGACACACACACGTGGACTCACACTAACCAGGTGAGGGGTGGCTGGACCTACACTCGGTAGAAAAGCTGGGGGCTCAGGGGGACCCGGCGCTGCAGCTCACCTGCAGAATAGGGATCTCCCTCTCCAAGGTGTGACACTCCTCCTCCAGGAGGCCCCTGGGACACGTGGGAGTGCAGCAGCCGGAAGCAGTGCCGAAGGGCCGGGTCTCAGATGGCCCCGACCTCCAGCTTCACCACGAGGCCCTCCAGGCCCTCTCTTCTCAGCCCACCTTGCCCTCCGCTGCCCAGCACAGCCTTCCAGCCCCTGCCAAGCCCCCTCCTGGGCAGAGTGTGTCCTCTCCTTGCATGCCTCCCAGTACCCAACTCGACAGGCACCATTATTTCTTCTGCGCCACCACACTGGGCCTGCAACCCCTCTGGCCCCCATTCTCCCCCACATCATGGCCCTTCCCTTGCTTAAAACTCTTCTGTGGTCTCCCCCGACCCCAACTCAAGATAAAAATCTTCGAGGCATGGCCCAGGCTGGCATTCCTGCTTGCCTACTTCCTGGCAGCAACCTCAGCAGCCCTGCAACAACCTGCCCTTTCCACCTTTCAGCCTGTTCTCACAGCTCCCCTCCCCCACCCAGGTATGCTGCCTCCCTTTCCTCTCTCTCCAGCCCAGCTCTTCACCTCCCCAGCTCCCTGTCTCCACCCCCACTACCCACTCGGGGGGCCTCACCGCAGGTGTCCGGCAACCTGATCGATGTTGGACATGTTCAGTTGGTCCTTGATGACAATGAAGTCCCTGTGACAGCTGCTAGGAGATGAAGTCAACATCACTCTCTCCATGTTGCCTCACCTGAGGCCTTCAGGACACAAATGCCACTTCTTCTAGATGATTTGTGTCTTTTCTTACAAAAGCAATATTGCATGGTGTGAAGAGGAGGAGCTCTGGAGTCTAGGTTTGCAGATGGGCTCTGCCACCCCTGGGCAAATTGATGATTCTTTCTGAGCTTTAGTTTCCTCATCTGCAACGTGGGAACATCACCCACCTCACCGGCTTGTGTGAGAATTAAAAATAAGTTGCTGCCATTCACTTCTTATGAACACGCCCCTGCTCGTTTATCTCATTCACTCCCCAGCCCTCTCTAGCCCAGCCCGCCTCCTGTTCTGTAACCCTGAGGACCACGTGACTACTGGACAGTCACTTTCTCCGGGATGCTCTGCCTGCCCCAAGGCTTGACCGGTGTCTCCAGGGCTTCTGCAGCCCTCCTGTGCTCATGCCCACCACAAGTGGCTGTAGAAGTGTCTGGCCCCAGACCGGGACTCCTGCATGGAGTCAGATGGGACCCACCAATTAACTGGGGCCTCCTGCCAAGCAAGGACAGCGCCCTCCTCTCCTATGACCACTTTACCTGGATTCACCAGCTCTCATCTGGAATATCTCCTGTGCTGGAAAATCACACCTGGACTCCTCCAAGGCAAAGCGCAGAACCCTGGGGCTATACTGGACCCAGGCCTGGTTCTGGTCCCTGCAGAAGGTGCACACAAAGGAAACTCAGGGTCTCCTTCCGGGAAGCCATAGGACAGGCAACCCTGGCCCCTTGTCAGGTGCAGGACTAGCCCATCTGAGGGTTGGGGACCCGGGCCCAACCCCAGATCTGAGGCTCCCACCTGCCCTCATAGATGGCTTTCTGGCGAAGACCTTGGAGCAGCTGCCGTAGTTCCTGGCGCACGAGGTCTCTTAGCAAGGGCGATGGTGCCAGAAGGGAGGAGGCATCAGAGGTGCGGCGAGAGCCAGGGGCTTGGGAGGATCGAGCCTCTTCCAGCAGGGACCGTAACATCATCACCTGCAAGGAGAACTAAGACACCTTGCTACTGCTGAGGGAAGTGGCGGAGGTGAGAACGGCTGAGAGGAATGGGGGGAAAGGGAGAGCCAAACGAGAGAGGACTGGCGGACTGTGAGATCCAGCAGGATCTCGAATAACCCGGCAGAGCCAGGAACCCGGAGGAACTGGGGAAATCACCCGAGAGGTGGCACGGACCTGCGGTGTGACCCACCTTCCCACTCTCCCCACCTCTGCCCGCAGCTCCAGGCTCAGGTCCACCGTCGTCTCCCCCAGAATCCTCTTCACTTCGGGTAGCTCCGGGAGCGGAACGTGCTCCTCTACCAGATCCCAAATCGATGGGGAGTCCCCAGGCATGGCCCGACAGGGGCAAGTTTGGACCTGCCGGACACTCGGGCTGGGCGTCTGAGCCTGGCCACTCCCACCACCCCTCCCGAGCTCACAGGCCACGCCCCTAAGCTGTCGCGCTTGCCGACCTCTTCCAAAAACCACCGTTGTTGTGCCGCCAGGATCCACAATCAAATTACCCGATATGCCCCTGCCGGTTTCTGGCTGACTCTCGGGGGCGCCGCGTTGCCTGACCACGGCCCGCAGGAGTCGGGCAGTGGTGACCAGGGCCTTAGCCCCGCCTCTTCCGTGAGGCGGTCACCGGGGAAACTGTGCCGCTATTCCAGGCCCCGCCCCCTCCACTCCAAGTCTAGAAGGCGTCACACAGCTCGCTGCCAATCCGATCCACAGCTGATAGGTGTTTTTGGAGTCTGAACCATCCACAAGGTCCTGACCCCAGATACTTTGTGCTCATCCCTGGCCACTTTCAGTTTCGGGACAGGCGGGAGAATTGAGAAATTTGGGCCTACTGGATTTATTACTTCGTTGCCTCTTCTGGTTCAGAGGCAGGGCAGAGCAAACCTTTCTCCTTAGAGCGGGCGTGAGTCTAGTGAGCACTGCTTGGAGGGGCCTGGATGGGGTGGGAGCGGACAACCAGGGATAGACCGACGGGTTGGGCCATGCACCCTCCCACAACACACCCAGGGTCTGCATCCGCAGACCCAGACTCCCATCCCCAAACAGACAAAGGGGCTGCTCCATTCACGTTTTTTACTAAAGCACCCACACAAGTTTCTGTGCAATATACAAACACAAGCTGGCCCTGGGGCTACTGCCTTCTCTCTGAGACAGGGAGGTGGGAAGCAGACTGACTGACCCAAGCCCCACCTGCCATCCATGCAAAGCCCAACCCCAAGATCCCAGGCAGTAACACAGCACTCCCTCTGGTCCCCTCCTGGGGCTGCTCCTCAGCAGGGGGCCACCAGAGTTTGCCCCCTACAATGTTGAATGAAAAAGGTTTCCCCTCCCCTGGGAGCAAGGGGGTTCCCCAGGTCTGAGAAGTCCTCCTGGAAGTGGCACTGCCCCCTAGTCATACCTCCCATTCTTCCAGGCCCAAGAGGACTCAAGGGAGGGGAAACTGAGGCACAGAGAGGTGGAGTGACCTAGCCCAGGCCACTCGGTGAGGCAGTGCAGGGGCCGGCCCGACCCTGACAGTGGGTGGGGAGGGGGGGCAAGGAGGGCTGACCCCAGGGGGCCACACTTGAGGGGCCTGGTCAGGGGGGAAGGCCCCCAGAGTGGGTTCTGAAACTTCCAGGTGCAGCTGGGGGGCCTACTGAAGACCCTCAGAAAACAGAGCCCAGAGTCTCAGTCCTGGGGCATCCCCCTCGGGACAGCCACTGGCCAGGCTGTAGGTCAGTCCTCTGGCCAGCAATCCTTGGCACAGGAGACGTTGTCCTTTAGTGTCAGCCCCGAGGGGGCCATGATGGGGGCCGTCCAATGTCCACTGTGATGTTGGTGAAGAGCGGCTGCCGAGACACCTCGAGGACGTGGTACCGCACTGACCCGATGCCATCCCGCTTCATGGTCAGCTTCGTATTTTGAATCTTGGTAAACCTAGAGAGGATGGGAGGGAGTCCAGATCAGGGGGGGCCGCTGAGCCCAATGTCTCTGGGGCCAAGGCTCAAGCCATCCCAGCCCCTGCTGGGGGTGACTTGGTTCTCCTTGCCACCCCTCCACCTGCCCGGAGCCCTTTTGCTCTTGTATCTGCCCTCAAAACAGAGATCTCACCCACTTGAGTCCAGAATTGTGACATCCTCACCAATCTTCATCTCAGACCTTCCTTCTAAGCTTTGGACCCAGGCGTGGGGCATCCCGGAGGCACCTCAAAGGCGTTGTGCCATGCGTCGGCTGCACCACCTTCACTCCCCAAACCCACTGTGTCTGCTCATCCTCCCATCACTCCTACACTGCTGATTGATTGGGCAGTCCCCAGGTGCCAGGCTCTACTCTAAGCAGCAGGGACACAGCCATGACCAGGACACAAGGTCCTTCCTCTCATGGCAAGTCTATGCCACTAGGGAGGACAGGTAACTCACAAGGAATACATCAGAATGCTAAGGGACATAGAAGAGGGAAACCAAGAAGACACAGGGAAGGGGTGAGTATGTGACAAGCTGCGAGCAGGAGGGAGAGCATTCCAGGCAGAGGTAATAACACCTGCTGACCCTAAACTGGGAATGAGCAGGTGCACAGCTCAGTGGCTAGAGGCTAACAGGCCAAGGGGAGAAACAGGTAAGATTAGCTTGGAGGTTACAGCATGTATGGGCAGGGCTCTGTAAGTCAGAGGGAGCAGTTTTTTCAATTCTGTGAGCAAGAAGATACCGAGGGATTTTTAGCCCAGTTTAGGGGAAGGGAGGGACATGAGGCATGAACTACAGAAGGGCGAGGGGGAAGCAGGGAAACCACTGAGAAGTCACTTCAGTAGTCCAAGCACAGGAAGGGGTAGTAAAGGGAAAAGTGGATGGGCTCAGATGTTTGGGGGCTGGCACTGACATGACTTGCTGATGGTGGGGACATGTAGGGTGAGGGGAAGAGGAAACCAGGAGAACTCCTAGATCTGAGGCAAAAGCAGCCAGGTAGATGAAACCACCACCTACAGAGTACCTTTAATCAGAATGTCTTGCTGTCTTGCTGTTTCCCCACCCAGAGCAGACATCCCTAATTGATGGCGGCTATTCCTGAAACAGGACCGAGGGGTACTAGCAAGTGCTTCTAGCTGAGCTCCACCCCATGAGCACACCAACCGTTTGACCCTCCCGGTCCTTCAGAGCTCGGCTCAGATCCCTCTCTGCAGCCATCCATCCCAACTGAGCACACTCTGTCAGATGCCCTGAGGCTTCTTCTCCCATTCTTTTGCCCCTTCCCTGCTCACCACAATTTTTTATCTGAACTGCTTTTTCATCAGCTCCCTGGGCACTTGGTGCTTCATGCCCTTGCCAAACATCAACCTCCCTCCCCAACCCTCACCCCCGTCAGTGTGGCTCTCTCCCACTCTCACACCCTGGGTTCAGGGCAGAACCACCCTGCTGCCCCAGCTAGGACACAGCAGCCTCACACCCACCGTAGCCCTGGGGCCCCATTGACTCCTTCAAGCCGGTTGCTCCCCTCCGGCTCCACCCAGCAGCTCTGCCAGCCCTTCTTCGCCTTCTTCAAGCTCCAAGGGGATCCTTCCAAGACCAATTCTGATCTTGCCCTGTCCCTGCTTAAAGCCCTTCCATGACTCCCCAACGCCCTGGGACAAACTCCCAAGCCCGGATGTGAGGCCCTGAATACCCAGCACCGACCCTCTCCACTGTCAGTCTCAGCCCTCAGAAGTTTCAATACCCACAAATTTCAGACTCTCAGTGTAACCCATGCACATTCACTTTCCCAACTCCTACATATATTATTTCCTTTTATCCAACCGGCCACCTCCATTAGCCTGATGAACACAGCACCATGCCCAAGGTAGGTGTGTGACAAATATTTGTTGAATAAACAACCCTTGTCAAACTCCAGCTGACTCCACCGTCCCTCAGCCAGGATGGCACCTTGTGCGGATCCCCCATGCTGCAACCACCCAACTCCCTCCTGAGGACAGCCTTCATGTGGGACATCCGGCTCTGGGTCCTCCTCGCCCACAGGGCATGCACCCTACAGTCCCTGAAGTGCCAGGACTGCCCTTCTCCCTGTTGCACACGCCCTCGGGCACTTCTGCCAGCCCCAGACCCCAGACGCTGCAACATGCTCGGAGACGGGGCCGCCTACTCCGGTCCCAGAGGGGTCAGTGCTGTCCGACCCATCCCCGCCCACACACCCAGGGCTCAGGCCACCTTTGCTGGGCCAGGGTCCAAGAGCTGAGCCCAGTGCCTGCTGTCTCTCATCCTATCTGCTCTGGCACAAGTGAGACCTGCGAGGACACCGATGGGAATGCAACCTACTCGGTGACGATGTGAGCCCTGCCTTTACAGTTTAGCACCTCCAGGAACCAGGCCGGGTGAGCGCTGTCTCACCCGGTGGGGCTCAGCTCGAGGGTGGGGACCAGGGATCACAGGTGCTGACTCATCTCTACAAGTCAAGAAGCAGGGGCCTTGGGGTCACGACCACCCCTGGGGACCCACGGCACTGGGGGTCCCCCAAGGGAGTGAGGGGTTCGGGGCCCTTGCGGTCACCTCTGAGGGTTGGGCTCGTTATGCTTGTCCCGGTCGTGCTTGATCATGCGGTAGCGGCCTATGCGGACGTCTGGGCGCGAGATCTTCATCCCAGTCAGGGAGATCCTGGGCACGGGACAGACGGTCTGGGGCAGGCACCAGGAAGGGCTGGGCGCCCCGCCCCATCTGCACGTCCCCTCTCACGTACCCGCTCTACTCCCCACCTGTCCCCACTCACCGGTTGAAGATGTCGTCATCCTCACCTCCCCAGCCCCAGTACTCGTTGGGGAAGCCATTGATTCTCAGGAACTGGGCTTTGCTCAGGCCCGACACGCCTCCAAAGTAGCCAGCATAGGGCAGTCTACTGGGCGGGAGAGCAGGCATCAGTGAGGGGCTGGAGGGGGCCCCGGACGGAGGACGGACATGGGGTGGGGGAGAGTGTGCCCTGGGCCAGCAGCAGGGGACACTGGGGCTGGGAGTCAGGGTCTGGGCAGGTGGGGAAGGTGGGGGCAGGGCTCCGGCTGAAAAGGGAACTCTCACCGGAAGCCGAACTTGTCCATGGCAATGGCGAAGTGGCGGGGCTGGTCGCCGCAGCGGTACAGGTTGCGGTCGTCCATGGGGACCAGGTCCACGTCACTGAAAATGAAGCAGTCGTAGGTGGCGTCCTCCTTCAGCGCCTCTAGGAAGCCCACGTTGAGCAGCTTGGCCCGATTGAAGGTGTCCTCACCGTGCTGGGGTGGGTGGAGGGCACAGGTCAGCTGTGGGCCTGTGGCTGGCACGTACCTGCCACTTCACCACTGCCCAGAGCACCTCCCACCGGCCAGCTCTGCCCATCCCCCGGCCCCTGCGTGGCTCCTGCCAGCCCCTAGGATCAAGTCCAGCTCCTCACGCTGGACCAGGCCTTCCAAGGCCTTTCACGACCTGGCTCTAGCCTCCTCTCCGCCCGCGGCCCTCCACACCAAGGCCCGGCTACGCTGCACTCCTCAGCAGCCCCAGCACGTGCCAGGCTTTTTTGCCTTGGCCTTGCTGTCCACAGTTGACCCTGCTCGGGATGCTCCCCTTTGCTTGTCAAACCCATGTCCGGAAGGCCTC